TTGACCGTATTTTTAAGAATTTTGAAATGATATGTATGTTAAATTGAAGCTTAAAGATTCTAGTTTATGATTAGATAAGAAAATTATATGATATTATTATTAAAATTTCCAGGAAAAAGTTATTAAAGATGAAATTGTCAAATTTATAAATTAAAGAAACACTAAATTTTCAAAAAATCATATCGACTGTATTTTTGAGAATCTGGATATGATATGTATGTTAAATTGAAGCTTAAAGATTCTAGTTTATGATGTGATAAAAAAATTATATGATAATATTATTGAAATTTCCAGGAAAAAGTGATTAAAGATGAAATTGTCAAATTTATAAATCAAAAATAACACGAAATTTTCAAAAAATCATATCGGCTGTATTTTTAAGAATCTTGATATGATATGTATGTTAAATTGAAGCTTAAAGATTCTAGTTTATGATATGATAAAAAAATTATATGATATTATTGAAATTTCCAAAAAAAAGTTATTAAAAAAGAAATTGTCAAATTTATAAATTAAAAATAACACGAAATTTTCAAAAAATCATATCATCTGTATTTTTAACAATCTTGATATGATATGTATGTTAAATTGAAGCTTAAAGATTCTAGTTTATGATATGATAAAGAAATTATATGATAATATTATTAAAATTTCCAGGAAAAAGTTATTAAAGATGAAATTGTCAAATTTATAAATTAAAAATAACACGAAATTTTCGAAAAATCATATCATCTGTATTTTTAAGAATCTCGATATGATATGTATGTTAAATTGAAGCTTAAAGATTCTAGTTTATGATATGATAAAAAAATTATATGATATTATTATTGAAATTTCCAGGAAAAAGTTATGAAAGAAGAAATTGTCAAATTTATAAATTAAAAATAACGCAAAATTTTCAAAAAATCATATCGGCTCCATTTTTAAGAATCTTGATAGGATACGTATGTTAAATTGAAGCTTAAAGATTCTAGTTTATGATATGATAAAAAAATTATATGATATTATTAATGACACTTCCAGGAAAAAGTTATTAAAGATGAAATTGTCAAATTTATAAATTAAAAATACACGAAATTTTCAAAAAATTATATCATCTGTATTTATCATGGTAATGATATGATATATATGTTAAATTGAAGCTTAAAGATTCTAGTTTATGATATGATAAAAAAATTATATGATATTATTAATGAAATTTCCAGGAAAAAGTTATTAAAAATGAAATTGTCAAATTTATAAATTAAATATAACAGGAAATTTTCAAAAAATCATATCGGCTGTATTTTTAAGAATCTTGATATGATATGTATGTTAAATTGAAGCTTAAAGATTCTAGTTTATGATATGATAAAAAAATTATATGATATTATTGAAATTTCCAAAAAAAAGTTATTAAAAAAGAAATTGTCAAATTTATAAATTAAAAATAACACGAAATTTTCAAATAATCATTTCAGCTGTATTTTTAAGAATCTTAATATGATATGTATATTAAATTGAAGCTTGAAGATTCTAGTTTATGATGTAATAAAGAAATTATATGATATTATTAATGAAATTTCCAGGAAAAAGTGATTAAAGATGAAATTGTCAAATTTATAAATTAAAAAATCACTAAATTTTCAAAAAATCATATCGGCTGTATTTTTAAGAATCTTGATATGATATGTATGTTAAATTGAAGCTTAAAGATTGTAGTTTATGATATGATAAAAAAATTATATGATAATATCATTGAAATTTCCAGGAAAAAGTGATTAAAGAAATTGTCGAATTTATAAATTAAAAATAACACGAAATTTTCAAAAAATCATATCATTTGTATTTTTCATGGTAATGATTTGATATATATGTTAAATTGAAGCTTAAAGATTCTAGTTTGTGATATGATAAAAAAATTATATAATATTATTAATAAAATTTCCAGGAAAAAGTTATTATTTAAAGATGAAATTGTCAAATTTATAAATAAAAAATAATACGAAATTTTCAAAAAATCATATCGGCTGTATTTTTAAAAATCTTGATATGATACGTATGTTAAATTGAAGCTTAAAGATTCTAGTTTATGATATGATAAAAAAATTATATGATATTATTAATGAAATTTCCAGGAAAAAATTATTAAAGATGAAATTGTCAAATTTATAAATTAAAAATAACAAAAAATTTTCAAAAAATCATATCATCTGTATTTTTCATGGTAATGATATGATATATATGTTAAATTGAAGCTTAAAGATTCTAGTTTATGATATGATAAAAAAATTATATGATATTATTAATAAAATTTCCAGGAAAAAGTTATTAAAGATGAAATTGTCAAATTTATAAATTAAAAAATCCCGAAATTTTCAAAAAATCATATCGACTCTATTTTTAAGAATCTTGATATGATACGTATGTTAAATTGAAGCTTAAAGATGTTTATGATATGATAAAAAAAATTATATAATATTACTAATCAGAAGAGGAAGAAAAACAAGCAAAGAGATGTATGTAATTTATCCCATTAGATACATACATTTACAGCTTTTAAAGCTCCCAATTAGGTTCAAACACCTTCCTCAAGTCTAGGACATCGTCTATATTACTAAATAAACTTCAACATAACACGATTTAATAAACTAAGTAATTATAAAAGCGACCAGACATCTAAGAGATCTAAAATGTAAGATCTAAAATGTAAAGTCCAAAATCTCTTATTGTAAACGGTTCACAAAAATTCACATTATGACAATTCCATGCTTATAAATATCCCTTTAAGTGTTCAACTCTTTGTTGTAACTCAATAATTAAAATCCCGAATCAAATTCTTCTTGATACATCAAACTTCACTCTAATGTTTTAAACGTCACTTTGACATTACACAATTTATTTTAAAAAAATCAAGGTTAGGTTAAAAATAAAACAACTAACAAATAATTGGTAAGATTTTTTGTAATTCTCACAAAGTTTCGAATAACCTCTAAATACATTCAGTTTCAGCGTTTTACTTCAATTCTTGATATGTCATTCATTCACATCAAACTTCACTTTAATGTTTTAACGTCACTTTGACATTACGCAATTTATTTTTAAAAATTAAGGTTAAGTTAAAATTAGAACGATTAATAAATAATTTGTAAGATTTTTTTTTAATTTTCTATAATTCTCACAATGTTCCGAATAATTTCTAAATTCATTCAATCTCGACGCTTTACTTAAATTCTTCTTGATATGTCATTCGTTAACGTCAAACTTCACTCGAATGTTTTAAACGTCACTTTGACATTACACTATTAATTTTTAAAAATCAAGGTTAAGTTAAAAATAAAACGATTAATAAATTATTGGTAAGATTTTTTTAATTTTCTATAATTCTCACAATGTTTCGAATAACCTCTAAATTCATTCAATCTCGGCGTTTTACAGAATTACAAATAAATACTTGAAATAACAACAAAAACAACATGATGACACATTTTCTTTTAATATTTTTTTGGTATCTTATTTTTATTAATTTAAAACGATGGCGGCGAGGCGAGGGGGGCGGCTCTTAATTAAAATAAAAGAGGTAAAAATAAAATCTTTGTATGTACAGGTCTGATCAAAAAAAAAAAGAACAAACTTATTTCCACCAATTATGACAATAACAAATAATTAATTAATTAATAATAATTTCTTTCAATGGAAATACTGCAAAAATTATCTAATCAAATTCTCTTTTTATCGATAAACCCACAACTATTTTTTTTTTATTGTACTCCAAGTTTCTTTTTAAGCGATTCTGGCATTTCTGGTGGTGGTGGACGTGGCATACGAGTCGCTACTTTGAACGCGTCATAAATGAACCATTGGGCAGCCGTTAATGTACCGATCATAATGATACGCGGGGTTAATCCTTTCCACATACCAGCAAAACCTAACCTCTTTGCCGCATCAATCGCGGTCATTCCCTTTTCTTGATTCAATTTTGAAACGACCGTATCGGCCGGATGCGAAACAATCGCGCAAAAAACGCCAGCAATGTAACCAGCGGCGAACGTTACAACTAATTGTTCACCTTTAGAACATTGAGCGCGCGGTTTTGGGACTACGTATTTATAAATTAATTCAACGGTACGTTCGAAACACGCGAATTTCATCATGGTGTAGGGAATTTGACGCATCCACAACGGTACTAGCGATTTATAAAAGCCGTTTAAGCCTTCTTGGCCGTAAATTTTCGGCATCGCTTCGCGCATTGTGTTTGCAAAACCGGGGGTTGTTTGAATTTTGACTTTTGCCGATTCGAGGGGGGATAAAGCGATGTCCGCGATGAATTCGGCCGAAGCGCTGGCGGCTAAATATAACCAAGTACGGTATAAAAAGGAGTTTTCTTCGCCCAACATGTCACCATAAACAACCTAAATGAAAAAAAATTAATTAAAACTTGAAATTTTGTTTTTTATTTTAGGCACGTACTTTGAAGACTTCATAGAAGCCGAACTTGCAGAGCCCTTGAGCGGAATACCCGAAAAACGTAGGTGCCCATCCTTTCGCTAAACCTTTCATCCCCTCCTCGGCCATGGTCACTTTGAACCCGCTCACGATGTTCTTGTATTTGGCCGGATCGACTTGGATACGACACTTGACCAAATCGAGAGGTACGACCATTGTGTGAGTGATGCCGCAGGATAAAACACCACCGAGACCGCATAGGTAGAAATATTTCATCGAACCAAACTCGCAGCTTTCACCGGGATTGATGGCGGCCGCTGCGATTTGTCGACCAGCAACTAACGAGGTTACCAAACCTTGTTTTTGGTCCGGCTCCGGACATGCTTCTTGGCATTTTACGCGGGATAAAAACATTTTTGTTGGTGTTGATGGAAGATGAAGCTTTGGTGTAAACTAAAAGGAAGGAAATAAATTAATTCAGGTAAGAAATTAGGTTAAGGTATAATTTAAGAATTTGTGGCTTCAAAATCGACAAATTTTTTTTAATCGATGGCTAAAATGATGCCCTCTTTAAGTTATTGAATGCTAGATACTCTTTGCAAAAGACTAAAAACTGCTTTGAAAGAGGAAATACTATTTCAAAAAGTTCCCTGCTGCTTCTAAAATGGTAGATACTGCAAAAAAAGACCACAACGTACTTGGAAAAGACTATATACTGTTTTCAAAATAATACCTATTGCTTCCAGAACGCTAAACACTGCTGTTAAAAGTTTTGACCTACTTGGAATAATGCTTCCAAAACTACTTATCGCTTTCAAAGACTTTAATAATTGATTAGAAAAGAGATATGCTTTGGAAAAGATTCTAATCTGCTTGGAGAAGACTAGATAGTGCTAACAAACAACTACAAACTGATTAGAAAGATCAGATACTGCTTCCATAAGACTACTTACTGCTTGCCAAAAGACTATTAATTACTTTCAGAATGATAAATATTGTTGGAAAGACTATAAATTGCTTGGAAAAAGCTAGATATTGTTGGCAAAGACTATTTAATACTTTCGGAAGATTAAATACTGCTAGTAAAAAACTAAAAACTGATTGGAAAGAAGAAATACTATTTCAAAAACTTTTCTATTGCTTCTAAAATGCTACATAGTGCAGAAAAAGACCACAACGTACTTGGAAAAGACTATATACTGTTTTTAAAATAATACCTATTGTTTCCAGAACGTTAAATATTACTGTTAAAGGTTTTAACCTACTTGGACAGGCGGAATACTGCATAATAATTGTTTGGAAAAGAGATATGCTACCCAAAAAGCTACTTAATGCTGCCAGAATGCTAAATACTGCTGGAAAAGACTAATAACTACTTGAAAAAAAGAGATATGTTCTCCAAAAAAGGTACCTACTGCTTCCAAACTGCTAGATATTGATAGAAAAGATTATAATCTGCTTGAAGAAGACTAAATACTGCTGGAAGAAACTATTATCTGCTTGGAAAGACAAGATACTGTCTCCAAAAGACTATTAATTACTTTCAAAATGCTAAATATTGTTGGAAAGATTACTAATTGCTTGGAAAAAGCTAGATATTGTTGGCAAAGACTATTTAATGCTTTCAGAGGATTAAATACTGCTAGTAATTAGACTAAAATCTGCTTGGAAAGATGAAATACGATTTCAAAAAGGTTACCTATTGCTTCTAAAATGCTACAAACTGAAGAAAAAGACCACAACTTACTTAGAAAAGACTAGATACTGTTTTCAAAATAATACCTATTGCTTCCAGAACGTTGCCATAACGTATTGTAATTTCTTTCTCTTCTCTAATCTTGATTCTCCAAGGTTTCAGTGAAATTTTGAAAATAAAAAACATAAAGAAATGCTCAACACCGTCTATCTTAGAAATCTTATGTGAAAATTTGACAAAATCTCCTGATGATGCTACGATTAATGTGGCGAAACCGGTAGAGAGAAAATAAATAAATTAATCCATTTGAAGTGCAAAAACCGCAGTTTTTTTTGCATTGTATATAAAATACTGCTGGGAGAAACTGTTATCTCCTTGGAAAGATAAATACTGTCTCCAAAAGATTATTAATTACTTTCAGAGTGCTAAATATTGTTAGCAAACACTATTTAATGCTTTCAGAAAATCAAATACTGCTAGTAATTAGACTAAAATCTGCTTGGAAAGATGAAATACTCAAAAAGGTTATCTATTGCTTCTAAAATGCTACATACTGCAGAAAAAGACCTCAACTTACTTGAAAAATTTTTTTTAGACAATAAAATGACCACTTTGCATATGCACAAACATAATTAAATTACTTGAAAAAGACTAGATAGTGTTTTCAAAATAATACCTATTGCTTCCAGAACGTTAAACATTACTGTTAAAGAAAAAAAAAAAGTTAAAAATTTGACGAAGCCTTCTGAAGATGTCTTAAAAGGGCGAAACCGGTCAAGGGGCAATTAGTAATAAATAAAGTCCATTGTTTAAGTGCACATTAGTATATCTTTATTCCAAATTACAACACAATGGTCAGGCCATTAGGAAGGAAAATCAAGCCATTACTGTTAAAGGTTTTTGACCTACTTGGGCAGGCGGAATACTGCTTCCAAGACTACTTATTGCTTTCCAAAAAGCTACCTTATGCTGCCAGAATGCTAAATACTACTGGAAAAGACTAATAACTGCTTGAAAAGAAGAGATATGCTGTCGAAAAAAGGTACCTACTGCTTCCAAAATGTTAGATACTGGTAATAACCTGCTTGGAGAAGAGTAGATAGTGCTAACAAACAACTACAAACTGATTGGAAAGATGAGATACTACTTCCATAAGACTACTTAGTGGTTTCAGAGCGCTATATACTACTAGAAAAAATTACGACCTGCTTGGAGAAGACTAAATACTGCTGGGAGAAACTATTATCTGCTTGAAAAGACAAGATACTGTCTCCAAAAGACTATTAATTACTTTCAGAATGCTAAATATTGTTGAAAAAATTACTAATTGCTTGGCAAAGACTATTTAATGCTTTTAGACGACTAGATACTGCTGCCAAATCACTACAAAATGCTTGGAGATTACAATACTACTGGCTGAAGATTATTTTCTGAAACTATTCTTTTGTTGAGTGATATTTTTCTGTGTACCTTCCATTACAGATTTAAAAATTGCTGCTACAACATCTCAGGCTAAACCTAAATATTGTAGGTTGACATTTCTAAAACTTCAATTTTGACATATTTGTAATCGTCGTGAAAAATCCTTTAAAATGAGCCCAAACATTACAATTTTTATAAAATGTCTTAAAATTTGTCACAAAATCAAAAATATAACAAAAAAAAATCAGAAATTAAGGTTGGTATTAATATTCAAACATTAAATAAAACTTCTATTATTGATAACTAACTTCAGGTTTAAAATGTCAACCTCAATTTTGACATATTTGTAATCTTCATTAAAAATCCTTTAAAATGAGTACAAACACGACATATTTATCTTCAATATTAATGAAGTTATGGTCTACTTCCGGTTAGAAATGTCAACGTCAATTTTGACATATTTGTAATCGTCGTGAAAAATCCTTTAAAATGAGCCCAAACATGATACGTTTAATTCCAATATTACTCGAGATATAAGCGACTTCCGGTTTGAAATGTCAATGTCATTTTGATATATTCTTAATTTTTATAAAATGTCTTAAAATTTGTCACAAAATCAAAAATATAACAAAAAAAAATCAGAAATTAAGGTTGGTATTAATATTCAAACATTAAATAAAACTTCTATTATTGATAACTAACTTCAGGTTTAAAATGTCAACCTCAATTTTGACATATTTGTAATCGTCGTGAAAAATCCTTTTAAATGAGCCCAAACATGATACGTTTAATTCCAATATTACTCGAGATATAAGCGACTTCCGGTTTGAAACGTCAATGTCATTTTGATATATTCTTAATTTTTATAAAATGTCTTAAAATTTGTCACAAAATCAAAAATGTAACAAAAAAAATCAGAAATTAAGGTTGGTATTAATATTTAAACATTAAATAAAACTTCTATTATATGATAACCAACTTCAGGTTTAAAATGTCAACCTCAATTTTGACATATTTGTAATCTTCATTAAAAATCCTTTAAAATGAGTACAAACACGACATATTTATCTTCAATATTAATAAAGTTATGGTCAACTTCCGGTTAGAAATGTCAACCTCGATTTTGATTTATTTGTAATCGTCATAAAAATTCTTAATTTTTATAAAATGTCTAAAAATTTGTGACAAAAACAAAAATATAACAAATAAAATCAGAAATTAAGGTTGGTATTAGTATTTAAAAATTAAATGCTATCTTCACTGTTGCTAACTTCGGGTTTAATGTTTTTTTATTCTAACTTTTTTATTTTTTGAGATAAATTTATCATGTTTGGACATATTTTAAAGGTTTTTTTAATAAAGAATACATTATGACAGTACCATGAAGTTGTCCATTAGTGGTTAGAAATGTCAACCTCAATTTTGACATATTTGTAATCGTCGTGAAAAATCCTTTTAAATGAGCCCACACATGATACGTTTAATTCCAACATTACTCGAGATATAAGCGACTTCCGGTTTGAAATGTCAATGTCATTTTGATATATTCTTAATTTTTATAAAATGTCTTAAAATTTGTCACAAAATCAAAAATATAACAAAAAAAAATCAGAAATTTAGGTTGGTATTAATATTTAAAAATTAAATTGCTATCTTCATTGTTGCTAACTTCGGGTTTAATGTTTTTTATTCTAACTTTTTTGTTTTTTGAGATAAATGCGTCATGTTTGGATGCATTTTAAAAGTTATTTTATGAATATTACGAAAAACAGAAGATCACAAGACTTAGATGGATTAAGCACAAGCTCATGGCGTTTCGCGACATCAAAAAATAATGCTACATCTAAGTTAAATTTAATGCAGGCATCATCCCAATTATTTGGATTAAAATTCAGCAGAGGCAGTGTACCATCTGTAATTTCTAATGTGATTTTTCGATAAGTTTTACACTTTTCCGCACTTTCTTATTATTTTTAACGTGTTTTTTCGATCATTTCACATTAATTAAAAAAAAAAATCATAGATTTTTAAGCCACATGACGATTATTGAATGTTTCCAAAATGAATTACATAACCTCAATTTTTTTTATTATTAATCTTATCTACAATTATTCCCCAATTATAAAAATTTTGCTTTAAAATACGTTTTAGTAACAAAGTTATTGCGTAAAAAGTTTCGATTTTCCTTAAATAAAAATAGATTAAATAAAATAAAGGCGGTGTTCGTTGTGACATAACCTCCAAATATTCTAAGCCTTGACATATGTCACTGTGACGTTGACATTGATTGTTTTTAGCCCTAATTACATAACTAAAATGTTTTGTTAAACATTTTTCGTTGTAATTTTGATGATTTAACGATGATTTTCGAAGAAATCAATACATTTAAATCGTTGGGAAACCCTTGAAAATCGTTCACTTTAGTAGGTCACATTAAAAAAGAAATAATTGATCAAAAAGTTTGGTAACAACATTTTTGCTCAACGTTTTTAGCAACAAAATCGATTATCCCCTTAAATAAATTATTTAAAATTAAAAATTGGTTATTACATAACTTTTTTTTTTAATAAATTATTTTGTGGAAACCCTAAAAATGGGATTTATTAATTTTTGAGGTTAATTTAGTTTATTAAAGGGGCGAAAGACGATTTAATTAAAATTAATAACTGGTTTTTAAGTAAAAAAAATGTTATAACTTACCTATCAAGATGGCCGAGACCGTTCGAAGACCAACTGACGCAAAATCAGCGCTAACCGCGATCACTACGATGGAAGCACGTGTCACGCGACCTAACCTTGGCGCCAAATTTAAAAATGCCATCCCAACCCCGCTATTGTGACCGTGATAAATTCATGTTTTATCGCTCGTGCTTACTACGTAATTCATCACGTTTTTTAATTTATCGAGAATTTAATAATAAAAAAATAAAAATAACTTCATGAATTAACGATAAAGTTATCTGTTGATTCTGCGATTAACAAATTTTTCTTTTTTTTTATTGCGAAAAATCATCACGGTTGATGACGCATAAGATATAATGTTATAACGATAAGATATTAAAAATTTATTTAAATTTAAAAATAAAAAAATTATTTAAATAAAACATTTATTAGTACATCTTATTATCGATAGATGGCGCGAATTTGACGTCAAATTCCATATTAATTAATCTTATTAATTTAAACAGCATTAAGAAATTTATTTTAATTAAATAAGTTGGTTGTTTAGATATTAATTTAAAATTAACAAATCAAATGAAAATTAATTAATTAAATCTAAAAAAAAATTTTTTTATTTTCTTAGGTTGGCACTTAAAATGGCAAATCAATGAAGCGAATTTAATGATTCGAAATTTATTCATAAAATAAGGTTAGTAATTATTAAATTTAATTATAATTCATTTTAAACTTAATTTAATCTAATTCTTTCGAATTTCCGAAATAATAATCGAAAATTAATCAATCTTAAAAGAATTTTGGTTGGTAGTAATTGCTGTCAATCGTGTTTATCAAACAAACGTCAAAACACCCCTGATATGGGAAAATACGCCGAAAAAAACATGTAAAAACTTATTTAAATCATTATGGGCTGATTAGTAACGTAAAAATGGTGTAAAAAAGTGTTGTGAAATAATTAAAAACATGGATAGCGTCATGGATGAGTTTAAATATCCGAATTTTTCGGATTCCCAAAACCAGCCTTGGGGAAGAAATTTTTCCAACAATGTAGTTAACCTGGACGATTTAAAAATGGATTCGAATTTTGCGATGTTGCTCTGCAGTTTAATATTTGCCATAGGATGGGTTATTTATATAACATATTATAATTCAAGACTCGCCGGGTACATCATCACCAAAATTGTGAATCGACTGTTTATTAGCAAAGATGGGTATTTTAAAATAGGTACGATAAGTTATTGTATATTTTAACATATTAATAATCAAATAATTTCATTAGGATCATTTACTTTAAACGCATTATCTGGGAAAATAATGTTTCGAGATGTCATTTATATCACCTTGGATTATAGCGTAAGAATACAAGATGGGTATTTAATATTTCGTTGGTGGAGATCGTATGTTCCAAAGGATGTCTCTGAAGATTTATCACATTCTGATACGAGATTATCAGTCGTTCTTAATGGTCTTGAAGTTCACGTTTATAACCGTACTCATATGTATTCAAATTTAGCCAAAATGTTTAATATCGATCCTAGCGTTTTACCAGAAAATTTTAATGTGGAGAATCAGCAAAGTAATGAAGCAGAATCTAATGAAAGGTTAGTTATTTAGTTAATTAATTTATTGTGATTTATTGATTTATTATGGTAATTTAGAGCTGATAATAAACCAAGACCTGAGGCAGCTATGGCAAGAACTTGGAGGGATTTAATTCCAGTTATAAAAGCTGATATTTCATCGGTAAGTTTTTTTTTTCACTTTTCAATCATTTTTAGTAAAATTTTTTGTTTTAGCTACGTTTAGTGTTTGGAAATCGTTTAGTTCCCACCACGTTAAGTATTACAGTTGAAGAATCCCATTTCGTTTACTCAACAAAGCCAGCAGTGTGCCAATTAGACCGCTTCATGCATTTTACTAAGTGGAAGGCGGAAAATGCTCGAGTTATGCTGGTTTCTAGCCCGAAATATACAGGTAATTAACTGTTACATAACCTAAAATTAAAGGGAGGTTGTTTAAACATTAATGTAGGCTACTAAATCATAAAAAATAGATATAAAATAAAAAATACTGAAAATTGTACGCGTGTGGCGCCATCTATTGGCATATTTTGAAATTATTCAGCTAAGAACCAAACCACTAAAATACAGGTTGCGTATGAAATTAGGTTATGTTTGAAATTGTCAAAAAAGTAAGAATTTCAAAAAATCACCACATCCACATTTTTAAGAGTTAGTAAACGATTTATGTCCTAAATTGAAGATTAAAGCTTCTACTTTAAGATGATATATGATGTGTAGGGTGTTTGATTAAAAAAATTTTTAGAAAAAGGCTTTTAAAGAAATGTTGTTGAAATTAGGTTAAGTTTGAAATTGTCAAAAAATCACCACGTCCACATTTTTAAGAGTTAGTAAACGATTTATGTCTCAAATTGAAGATTAAAGCTTCTACTTTAAGATGATATATGATATGTAGGGTGTTTGATTAAAAAATTTTTTAGAAAAAGGCTTTTGAACAAAAATTGTTGAAATTAGCTTAAGTTTGAAATTGTCAAAAAATCACCACGTCCACATTTTTAAGAGTTAGAAAACGATTTATGTCTCAAATTGAAGATTAAAGCTTCTACTTTAAGATGATATATGATACGTAGGGTGTTTGATTAAAAAAATTTTTAGAAAAAGGCTTTTGAAGAAATTAGGTTAAGGTTGAAATTGTCAAAAAAGTATGATTTTCAAAAAATCACCATGTCCACATTTTTACGAGTTAGTAAATGATTTATGGCTCAAATTGAAGATTAAAGCTTCTACTTTAAGATAATATATGATATGAAGGTTATTTGATTAAAAAAATTTTTAGAAAAAGGCGTTTGAAGAAAAATGTTGAAATTGGGTAAAGTTTGAAATTGACAAAAAAATATGATTTTCAAAAAATCACCACGTTCACATTTTTACGAGTTAGTAAATGATTTATGTCTGAAATTGAAGATTAAAGCTTCTACTTTAAGATAATACATGATATGTAGGGTGTTTGATCAAAAATTTTTTTAGAAAAAGGCTTTTGAAGAAAAATTGTTAAAATTAGGTTAAATTTGAAATTGTTAAAAAAGTAAGAATTTCAAAAAATCACCATGTCCACATTTTTAAGAGTTAGTAAACGATTTATGTCTCAAATTAACGATTAAAGCTTCTACTTTAAGATGATATATGATATGTAGGGTGTTTGATTAAAAAAATTTTGAGAAAAAGGCTTTTGAAGAAATGTTGAAATTAGGTTAAGTTTGAGATTGTCAAAACAGTAGGAATTTTAAAAAATCACCACGTCTACATTTTTAAGAGTTAGATAACGATTTGTGTCTCAAATTGAAGATTAAAGCTTCTACTTTAAGATGATATATGATATGTAGTGTGTTTGATTAAAAAAAATTTTAGAAAAAGGCTTTTGAACAAATATTGAAATTAGTTTAAGTTTGAGATTGTCACAAAAGTATGATTTTAAAAAATAACCACGTCCACATTTTTAAGAATAAATTATAACCTCAAAAATTGTTGACAATTAATAAATTGTGCGATGACGTTTAGGGAGTTGTTATCGAAAAAAATCTTAGGTTGGTATTTGAAACTTCAAATATTTTTAACGTTTAAAAGTATATAAGTTGACATTTTTTGTAACGTCAAAAATTTTTGACAATTAAAAAATTTTACGATGGCGTTTAGGGGGTTATTAACCAAACAATTTTAAGTTGGTATTTGCTTATAACCCCAAACATTTTTAACGTTTAAAGCTACATAGGTTGGTATTTTTTTTGTAACCTCAAAAATTTTTGACAATTAAAAAATTGTACGGTGACGTTTAGGGGGTTGTTATCGAAAAAATCTTAGGTTGGTATTTTAAATCTTAAATATTTTTGACATTTACAAGTACATAGGTTGACATTTTTTGTAACCTTAAAAATTTTTGACAATTAAAAAATTTTACGATGACGTGTTTAGGGGGTTATTACCAAAACGATTTTAAGTTGGTATTTTCGTATAACCTCAAACATTTTTGACGTTTAAAGCTACATAGGTTGGTATTTTTTTTATAACCTCAAAATTTTTTGACAATTAAAAAATTGTACGATGACGTTTAGGGGGTTGTTATCGAAAAAATCTTAGGTTGGTATTTTAAATCTCAAATATTTTTGACATTTACAAGTACATAGGTTGACATTTTTTGTAACCTTAAAAATTTTTGACAATTAAAAAATTTTACGATGACGTGTTTAGGGGGTTATTACCAAAACGATTTTAAGTTGGTATTTTCTTATAACCCCAAACATTTTTGACGTTTAAAGCTACATAGGTTGGTATTTTTTTTATAACCTCAAAATTTTTTGTCAATTAAAAAATTGTACGATGACGTTTAGGGGGTTGTTATCGAAAAAATCTTAGGTTGGTATTTTAAATCTCGAATATTTTTGACGTTTAAAAGTACATAGGTTGGCATTTTTTGTAACCTCAAAAATTTTACGATGGCGTTTAGGGGGTTATTCCCAAAACGATTTTAAGTTGGTATTTTAAGCATTCTTGACGTTTAAAGCTACATAGGTTGGTATTTTTTTTTTAACCTCAAAAATTTTTGACAATTTAGAAATTGTACGATGACGTTTAGGGAGTTGTTATCGAAAAAATCTTAGGTTGGTATTTTAAATCTTAAATATTTTTGACATTTAAAAGTTGATATTTTTTGTCTTGTTTAAACGTTATTTGACAGAGAAAGTCTTTTATAGTGTGGGGGAATTTTTAAATAATAACTTTGACGAAATGCATTTATGTTTTGTGATTTTGTTGTAGTTTCTATATATATATAATTATACATGTGTCTGATTTACGAGAATCATGTGATTGAGTTATCGTCAATAAAGTATTATTATTATTATTACATAACCTAAAATTAAAGTGAGGTTAAGTTTTTAAAAGATCAATGTAGGCTACCAAATTTGAAACGTCACTAATCAAATGATTTTTGAAATGAAAACCATCGCTTTTTACTCAACGTTTTTTACAACCCTCGTTATTTTAATCATTTTGGATCTACAACAATTTTATTTAAGCACAATATTATGTACGAGGAATCAAGATGCGATTTTTACAAGTTTAATAATCGACGATGAAGAACCCGAGACCACGTTAAATTGTAAAAACTCAAATTATTTCTCAAAATCTGCCTTAAAAGACCGAGCGGAGGCTATCGAAGGGAATCATTTGGGTAAAAAGAAATGGATTTTAGAATCAATTTGGGAAATAGCCGAAGAAAATCTCCTCCAAAAAATTGAGAACAAACGGAATAAATTGAAGAAAAATTTAACCGCGTTTAATTCGAACCCTTTAGAAATGAAAAAGAAATATTTTTATTACTTATACAACATCGGCGTTTTAACTGGAAATACTTTTACGATGGATGAAATCGAAAAGTTTTTAATTTCCGGGTTTGTCATCCCCGGAAAATGTATTCAAGAACACAACAATTTGTTGGGTTTAAATTTGGGGTTAAAATATTTAAAGAATTTAACCGAAAGGAGCGAAATAACGTTAGAAAATTTGGGAGAGTTGAACAAAATCATTTTGGGACATTCCGATCCGATGAGTGCCGGGAAAATAATCAAGAAAAATATGAAACAAATTAATTTGTTTATCGACTTTTTAAATAACCATCATTACGGGGATGAACTTTTAAAGGATAGCGTTAAAATATTTTCTGAATCATCGCGGATTAAATTCTTTAAAGCCGGAAATCTTCGCACTTCCTTGATGATTTTAAATTTGATTTTATTGAGGTCCGGATTTCCTTTGATTACGATTGATCAAAAATATAAAAAGGAATTTTTTATTATTATTAATTTGAGGGAAAGCGATCGTGAAAAATATTTGATTAAATTTTTAATTTTTTGCATGGATAATTCTCTTGATATGTATTTAACAAATAAATTCTATTAAAATGTTTAATTTTTTTATTTAATTTTTTATTTTTTAGGAATGTTGGATGATCCACCAAGATACATGGGGGAAGGATTCGTTTTAATGTCAACAAACGACCTCGAATTATACTTCTACATGGACGAGCCAGGTTTAGTTCCTGAAGAACCAGTTACAATTAACCTCCCCAATGGAGACATCGTCGAGCCGAGCCCCCCACAATGGGGTATCGATATTAAATGCGGAAAAGGAACCGATTTTAGTTACGGCCCTTGGGCTGACCGGCAAAGAGAACATTTATTTAAATTTTTTTACCCCCAAGATTACCTCCCAATGGAAGTAACAAAAATGGCCGTAGCGGGGGAAAAGCGCCAAATGCACTCATTTGATATCCGGTTATCGATGCAAAGTAAAGCGACCGTCGACATTTTATTCTCAAAAAATAAAGAAACGAATGCGGTTCATGTCAATTTAGGACCAGGGTCGTATTTAGAAATTTCAATACCCTGGGTGACCACCGAAAAAGGGTACACATCGAAAATTACCGGGCAATTATTTCACACCGAAGCAACGACCAGTTTGCAATTTCGCGATTTATTAATGAGCGAAACTTTGGAGTTTTCGGTTTTATGTCATTATCCGTTAATGTGGAACGATCACCAGTTGTGGGAGTTTAATTTAACCGGGGGGAAAGCGACGGTGAACGTTTTATTTTGCCACAAATGGTTTTTTACCGACTTAATGAACGATTGGTCCACTAAACAAAGACCCGATTTATTACACTTCGTCCCATACACTTGGAGATTCGGGATTACCTTCAAACACTGCGAGTTAATCACGCCGAGTAATGAATATAATTGGGTCGATTGTACGAGCGCCGGGAAAAACCACGAAAATGGACAAATCGCTTTTTGCGCACATTTTTTACATCTATCTTTTGATTTGCCGTTTGATGAGTTTTTACCAGACACTCTACCGCTAAATTTTAGTATACAAGTAAGACCTCTTTGTTAATTTTATGAATTTTATTTCAATTTTGATTTTTTTAGGGCGAATCTATCGATTTTGTTGTGTTCATCCCCGAGTATCATACAAGTAGGATTACAGTTATGGCTTTGGAGAAGTATGCTAAGATACGATCCAAAGATGGGAAAGGAAAAAAGAAAACTGAGGCTATTCCTAAATGGAGAAATGTTTGTACTTCAACGTAAGTATAAAATTCGTAATTTCGATTTATGTTTACATAACCTCAATTTATTTTAACCTCAAAATTTGTGATGACAAAATCCGAATTTCTTCGTTTGAGCCAGATGAAAAGTATACAAAGTATAAAATTAAATAAAAACAGCATTAGAACTACAAGATGTAATGCATAATTATAATCTATTTCGAAAAATCATTACATTTTAGAAAAAATTTTAGTTAGTGATGTTTGATATGTCAAGGTTGGTATTATTGAAATTTGACAATCTTAATAATTAATAGAGATTGAAGAATTATTAAAAGATAAACTAAATAATGAACCAGTTTCGTTTATATCGGTAGAAAAAACTTGTTTAAAATGTAAAAAAACAGGACATATCGATTAATGTGCTTCAAGTGCAATAAAAAAAGGGAATATTACAATACGATTTGCACCAAATACAACTAAAATACAATCAGATTGAATTAGTATGTACTAAATTGTAATATTACTTACTTAAATTGTTAAATCAACTTAGATTTCGTTCCATTTTATTGATTTGTTGTGTTAACTATTTGTAAATTTTATACGAAGATGATTGACGTCTCTACATAACCTCAATTTATTTTAACCTCAAAATTTGTGATTTCAAAATCCGAATTTTTCGTTTTAGCCGGATTAAAACTGCATAAGATTCGAAAATCGAATATAAACAGCATTAAAACTACAAGATGTAATGCATAATTATAATCTATTTCGAAAAATCATTACATTTTAGAAAAAATTTTAGTTAGTGATATTTAACATGTCAAGGTTGGTATTATTGGAATTTGCCAATCTTAATAATTGTTAGAGATTGAAGAATTATTAAAAGATGAACTAAATAATGAATCAGTTTCGTTTATATCGGTAGAAAAAACTTGTTTAAAATGTAAAAAAACAGGACATATCGATTAATGTGCTTCAAGTGCNCATCCCCGAGTATCATACAAGTAGGATTACAGTTATGGCTTTGGAGAAGTATGCTAAGATACGATCCAAAGATGGGAAAGGAAAAAAGAAAACTGAGGCTATTCCTAAATGGAGAAATGTTTGTACTTCAACGTAAGTATAAAATCTTTCTATAAAATTCGTAACCAATACGATTAAAACATATATTATTGATTTTGTTATGTTTACATAACCTCAATTTATTTTAACCTCAAAATTTGTGATGTCAAAATCCGAATTTCTTCGTTTGAGCCAGATGAAAAGTATATAAAGTATAAAATCAAATAAAAACGGAATTAGAATTACGAGAAATAATGCATAATTATAATCTATTTCGAAAAATCATTAAATTTTAGAAGAGATTTAGTGATATTAAACATGTCGAGGTTGGTATTGTTCTGCCTACATAACCTCAATTTGTGATTTCAAAATACGAATTTTTCGTTTGAGCCGGATTTAAATTGCATAAGATTCGAAAATTAAATAAAAATATAATTATAATTTATTTCGAAAAATCATTAAATTTTAGAAAAAATTTAGTAGTATTTGACATGTCAAGGTTGGTATTATTGGAATTTGACAATCTTAATAATTATTAGAAATTGCAGAATTATGAAAAGATAAACTAAATAATGAACCAGTTTCGTTTATATCGATAGAAAAAACTTGTTTAAAATGTAAAAAACCAGGACATATTGATTAATGTGCTTCAAGTGCAATAAAAAAAGGGAATATTAATTATTAAATACAATCAGATTGAATTAGTATGTACTAAATTGTAATATTACTTACTTAAATTGTTAAATCAACTTAGATTTCGTTCCATATTATTGATTTGTTGTGTTTATTATTTCTAAATTTTGTACGAAGATGATTGACGTGTTTACATAACCTCAATTTATTTGAACCTCAAAATTTGTGATTTAAAATCCGAATTTTTCGTTTGAGCCGGATTAAAACTGCATAAGATTCGAAAATCAGATAAAAACAGCATTAGAACTACAAGATGTAATGCATAATTATAATCTATTTCGAAAAATCATTAAATTGTAGAAAAAATTTAGTTAGTGATATTTAACATTTCAAGGTTGGTATTATTGGAATTTGACAATCTTAATAATTATTAGAAATTGAAGAATTATTAAAAGATAAACTAAATAATGAATCAGTTTCGTTTATATCGGTAGAAAAAACTTGCTTAAAATGTAAAAAAACAGGACATATCGATTAATGTGGTTCAAGTACAATAAAAAAGGCAATATACAATACGATTTGAACTAAACACAACTGAAATGCAATGAGATTGAATTAGTATGTACTAAATTGTAATATTACTTACGTAAATTGTTAAATCAACTTAGATTTCGTTCCATGTTATTGATTTGTTGTTTGTTTATTATTTGTAAAGTTTATACGAAGATGATTGACGTGTCTATATAACCTCAATTTATTTTAACCTCGAAATTTGTGATTTAAAATCCGAATTTTTCGTTTGAGCCGGATTAAAACTGCATAAGATTTGAAAATCAGATAAAAACAGCATTAAAACTACAAGATGTAATGCATAATTATAATCTATTTCGAAAAATTAAATTTTATAAAAAATTTAGTTAGTGGTATTTGACATGTCAAGGTTGGTATTATTGAAATTTGACAATCTTAATAATGGGGTCATACACGATTTTTTTTTTATTATATTTTTTGAAAGTTTATATAGAAATATAGTTACCGTTATTTTTTTTTTTAATATTTTCGAACAAACTCATTGTTAAAAAAATTATTGAAAATTTATATACCCATTTGCGCTTTTAAAATTCCCGCGTTGATGACGTACGATTCTCACTTTTGCGTCCCCTGCTCCCCGCTCAAATGCGAGAAAGAGATGAACGTCATTTANAAAAATTTTAGTTAGTGATATTTAACATGTCAAGGTTGGTATTATTGGAATTTGCCAATCTTAATAATTGTTAGAGATTGAAGAATTATTAAAAGATGAACTAAATAATGAATCAGTTTCGTTTATATCGGTAGAAAAAACTTGTTTAAAATGTAAAAAAACAGGACATATCGATTAATGTGGTTCAAGTGCAATAAAAAAAGGCAATATACAATACGATTTGCACAAAACACAACTGAAATGCAATCAGACTGAATTAGTATGTATTAAATTGTAATATTACTTACTTAAATTGTTAAATCAACTTAGATTTCATTCCATGTTATTGATTTGTTGTTTGTTTATTGATTGACGTGTCTACATAACCTCAATTTATTTTAACCTCAATTTGTGATTTTAAAATCCGAATTTTTCGTTTGAACCGGATGAAAACTGCATAAGATCCGAAAATCAAATAAAAACAGCATTAGAACTACAAGATATAATGCATAATTATAATCTATTTCGAAAAATCATTAAATTTTAGAAGAAATAGTGATATTTAACATGTCAATGTTGGTATTATTGGAATTTGACTATCTTAATAATTGTTGGAGATTGAAGAATTATTAAAAGATAAACTAAATAATGAGCCAGTTTCGTTTATATCGGTAGAAAAAACTTGTTTAAAATGTAAAAAACCAGGACATATCGATTAATGTGGTTCAAGTGTAATAAAAAAGGCAATATACAATACGATTTGAATCAAACACAACTGATATAAAATGAGATTGAATTAACTTAACTGTGTATGTACTAAATTGTTATGTTACTTACTTGAATTGTTAACTCAACTTAGATTTCCTTCCATGTTATTGATTTGTTGTTTGTCGTGTCTACATAACCTCAATTTATTTTAACCTCAAAATTTGTGATTTCAAAATCCGAATTTTTCGTTTGAGCCGGATTAAAACTGCATAAGATTCGAAAATTAAATAAAAACAGCATTAGAACTACAAGATGTAATGCATAATTATAATCTATTTCGAAAAATTAAATTTTATAAAAAATTTAGTTAGTGGTATTTAACATGTTAAGGTTGGTATTATTGGAATTTGACAATCTTAACAATCGTTAGAGATTGAAAAAGAATTATTAAAAGTAAACTAAATAATGAAGACAGAAATTGGAGTAGCCAAGGACAGTAGAATCTAACAGGACTGCTACATGCATTGTTGTGACAACCTGCCCGCAAACTACGTTACACCATTTTCAACGCCCAGCTGTTGTTATGGTCTATGCGTTTGCTGTGTATTTTTAGAGGTTATATCCTAGACGTATTCATATTATTCTTGAAGTTTTATGTTTTTAGACGTATTAATGTCTATCATATAACCTCTAAAAACACAGACAGTTACGAGGCGTGGCTAATAGTGTGACGTAGAGTGCGGGCAACCAACCCATAGTGGACTACAAAAATACAATAGATGTAGCAGTCCTGTTAGATTCTACTGTCCTTGGGAGTAGCAAAAAAGAATGAAACAATAATGCCAGAGTGAGAAGCAACAATAAAAGGAGAAAATTGTGTTATAACAAAGGTATTACTTGTACCAGAACTAACAAGAATATTAGAAATTCTACACACGGACGAAATCTGAAAATACATTAGCTAAAATTTTAAAGCGCATTTTTTGAAATGTTTTGGATTACACTGTAACGATTTTAGAATACAAGAATAGGTTCTGAAAACACTTCGCGCCTATCACAACTTTTAAATAGCGAGAAAATGTTTGGAATTATCCTGGCTTAGACGCTAAAGTGTAAGGATAGTCTTAATATCTTCTAAGCAGACTTAATATTCCATGAAGATATCTCGAATTACACTGTAACAAAATTACTTTGGAAGTTTAAAAATCAAAAATTGTTATCAGTGAAGTCGCACTGCACTAATACTTATGATTAGAAAAATTTGGAATTTTGCTGATTAGACTATAAATTCCAAGAAAAAGCTTGCAAGATTGCTTTGATGTTTTGGACAACAAGAAAAAGTCTTTAATTACACTGGTTAAGACTTTAATGTATAAGAAAAGTCTGAAGTTATACTGGTCTGACNTCCTACGTCACAGAAAAGCCGCGAAATTATTTCGTTTGAATATTTGCTATTTTTCACTTCAAATTACGCAAAATATAAAATTGATCAAAATATTTCTCTTACTTTGTGTTCATGCATATACTTGCATATATCGTTTGACATAAAAATTTTCTCTAAATTTAATAAGTGTGTATGACCCCATTGTTAGAGATTGAAGAATTATTAAAAGATAAACTAAATAATGAACCAGTGTCGTTTATATCGGTAAAAAAAACAGGACATATCGATTAATGTGGTTCAAGTGCAATAAAAAAGGCAATATACAATACGATTTGAACTAAAGACAACTGAAATGCAATGAGATTGAATTAGTATGTACTAAATTGTAATATTACTTACTTAAATTGTTAAATCAACTTAGATTTCGTTCCATATTATTGATTTGTTGTGTTTATTGTTTGTAAAGTTTATACGAAGATGATTGACGTGTCTACATAACCTCAATTTTTTTTAACCTCAAAATTTGTGATTTAAAATCCGAATGTTTCGTTTGAGCCGGATTAAAACTGCATAAGATTCGAAAATCAAATAAAAACAGCATTAAAACTACAAGATGTAATGCATAATAATTATAATCTATTTCGAAAAATCATTAAATTAAAAAAAAAATTTAGTTAGTGATATTTGACATGTCAAGGTTGGTATTATTGAAATTTGACAATCTTAAAATCGTTAGAGATTGAAGAAGAATTATTAAAAGTAAACTAAATAATGAAGACAGAAATTGGAATAGCGAAAAAGAATGAAACAATAATGCAAAAGTGAGAAGGAACAATAAAAGGAGAAAATTGTGTTAAATCTGGAAATACATTAGCTAAGATTTTAAAGCGCTAGGATACTTTTGAAATGTTCTGGATTACACTGTAACGATTTTAGAATACAAGAATAAGTTCTAAAAACACTTCGCGCCTATCACAACGTTTAAATAGCAAGAAAATGTTTGGAATTATCCTGGCTTAGACGCTAAAGTGTAAGGATAGTCTTAATATCTTCTAAGCAGATTTAATATTCCATGAAGATAACTCGAGTTACATTGTAACGAATTACTCTGTAAGTTTAGAAATCAAAAATTGATATTAGTGAAGTCACACCGCACTGACTGCAATTTTGACACTCCTAGAATAAGTCTGGACTAATACTTATGATTAGAAAAATCTGGAATTTTGCTGATTAGACTATAAATTCCAAGAAAAAGCTTGCAAGATTGCTTTGATGTTTTGGACAACAAGAAAAAGTCTTTAATTACACTGGTTAAGACTTTAATGTATAAGAAAAGTCTGAAGTTATACTGGTCTGACTTTAGACTCTGAGAAAAAGCTTGCCAGACGTCCCCCAGCACAAAAAAAAAGAAGAAAAATCTAGTTAAGATTTATTACTTTTTTAATCAAATGGTGGTTGTGGGCTGTTCTTGAGGATATGAGTGTCTTATATATGAATTTTGGTAATCTAAATCGTATTGGTTAAGGAATTATGATTTTTTAAAGTTTATGACAGATTTATGGATAATTTCACATCATTTAATGTAATTTCAGAAATGGTTGGGTTGATTTTTGGTGGATCCCAATCGGGGCTATCAACATAGGTTATGTTTACCACCCTTGTCCTCCGTTGGGGCCAACCCCTCAAGCTGACATTTCAACACCTGTTAAAGAAGAGATACTTTTATCGCCAATGAGGTTCCCAAGGCAAAGAAAACCGCATCGTTCTCCAGTATGTATACTTCTCTTTAATTTTTTATTTTTCTTTTATTACTGCAATCTATTGCATACAACTACAATAAACAGTATAATAACATTAATAACAATAATAAACCTGCTCAATAGTAGGTCTAAAAGGAAACCATGGTTTTATTCAACAGATCTTACAAGGGTTTAATATAGTTAACATCTTGTATGAATAAAGAAGGAGGTGACTATCTTTAAATTTTGGGTTGGATTAAATATAGTATCGTTTTCAGTGTTTTCTAAGACACTGTATTTATTCTAGCGCCTCGCCCGCAAGCGACCTCGGCGATTTGAGGCAA